TCGGTCATTGGATGGGTGACCGTATTATCTCGAGCTTCTCCGTGCTTCAGAAGGCACGTTAAGCCATTCCGCATCTGAGGTCATTGGTACCCGCGAATCCGCACTGTGCCCGCATGAATGACCCAATCTCCCTATTTCATACATAGGGAAAACCTGCAGTGGGGATATTAATAAGCTGATGATGATGAAAAAAATGGTCATAAATATGTTTTATCTGATGAACCAAACACCTAGAAACATTAAATTATTAATGGTAGAATTTAAAAATAATTTGAAACAGGGTTTGGTAGAATTTAGTAGATTTTAGCAACATTTTTGGTAGATCGTGTGATAAAAGTGGCCACGTTGCTCGAGTCAGTCTGTTCGCTGTCAAGTAAGCTAGAGACTGTGTTCTGTGTTCACGATGGCAACAGATTTTTCAAGATTGGATAATGGTGAGTACCGAGTTTATTGTTTTTAAATTGCCGTTATTTACTTTATCTACAAATAATTAGATTTAAGTAATGTTATAGAAGTAGTAATGATAAAATGAATTCGAATTAGGAATCAAGTTAAATTTTGTGTCATATCGTATTAGAATTTTGCATATTTATTCATGTAAAGTCGCAGAAAAGCATAGGCACTTTAATGTTATGTAGGTATTTTGTGATGAAAGTGTAAAAACAAACCTGTGTCTGTAAATCAGGGCTCATGATGCATTACAGGTGAAATTAGTAGATAGGTACCTATTTTTAACTACACCAAATTAATGCTCGATAAAGATTGAATAATTGGTTATAAACTCCATCGCTTCAGTCTGTAGGTATGGTTTCTTGCATCTTTCTTGATAAATGATAGCAAATGAAAAGTTTTGCCAAAAATTAAGGTAAAAATGTACAACTCTAACTCGGCTCGGCGCAAACCGGCCACCGACAACAGCCACCGGTGGCCAGCAACAAGCAGTTCAAACGTTTTCTCATACATTTTGTTAAAACTTGCCGCACGCGTGTGGCCAGTGGCGGCTACAAGCTACAGCAGTGTCCGCGACTCGCCACTTCTGGTCGCTGCGGGCCACACAAGACGCCGACACACGCCATTGCCGCGCTGCTCTACCCCCCGCGCAGTTAACAATATAGGCAGCGACGGCGTTGTCTACGTCTTCGGCGTATTAACAATAGCGCGAGCAAACTTTCCGTGTCGGAGTGAACACCGGTGGCTGTCGCTCACTTTTGACACTGTTATAAATGTGGCGGTAGCACGCGACAGCCACCGGTGGCTGTGGTCGGTGGCCCGTATGCGCCGAGCTTAACCACTCTGTTTTAAAAATAATTGCTTACTATTACCTACCTACCAAGCTTTTATGCGATTCAAAAACATGTTACCTATTTCGTACAGAATCTACAAGACAGATTGTCGAGTCAATGTCTAAGAACAATGCGGTATACAAACTTTTTTTTGCTGTCGTGTCAGAGTTATGATACCTACTTATGATAGTCTGAGCTATGCTCAGCTTTTGATTTAAAGAATAAAGTAATGCTCTTTGATTTCGGGTATTACCCCTATCATTGTATCTTTTGTTTTGTTTTTGACACTCGTAGCACGCTATTAGATATTCTGTGTATTATATTAAACGTACTTTTAAATAGTATGATACGCATCACTTAAAATAAATTTATTTAATCTCAAGATACCTACTTCGTGATCGCACAGCATTTATTCGCGGCAGGCTGGTCCACCTCATAGGGAAGCGTAGTAAAATATCACTTAGGCATAAGTTTACAAAACTTGTATCCGTCCTATCATGACCTACGCGAGTGTTTGCTTCGCCCACGTACCTCCGTCGCGTCTTAAACCACTACAAACGCTACAAAATCGTGTGTTGCGCGGTGCCACGGGTTGCCCGTGGTACATGCGCAACATCGATTTGCATCGCGATCTTAAGTTAGACGTATATGAAGGACGCCGAGACGTTACTTCGATACAGCCGCGCATCATCCGAACCCCTTAGTAGTGAAAGACATTACTTATCAGATGTCCGCCCTCCCGTCCTCGAATCGTAGGTTCCTCCGATTCCGTCGGTCCAGGCACGTCTTAGAGTACCCCGACGACGAAATCACCCCGCGCCAACGACTCCTCCCACACAGGCCACAAATAACAACACTACTACACAGCTAACAAACTTCCATACTAGCTTAGCATTAGGCAGACACCGGAACCGTAGGATAAAAGTGTGTAGACCCGGTCTACACACGACACGCTATATCAGCTACAGGTACGTACCTTGCCGTTTTTCCCCACCTCCCACGACAACGGCTAACTAGAGCCGAGGTCCGAGTCTCGGATACGCCCTCTAGTTAAACCAACCCCCTCAGGTTCGAGTGGTGTAGAGGCTCTAGACGGAGTGTGACTCCCCCCGTGGGGAGATGCTATCCGCCTGAAATATATCTAGAGTCACTCGCCAATTCTCAGCTTGAGGTCCCCTTACGATCTCGCCATCCCCAAACCCGGTGACAAACTGTAAAGGTAATCTGCGACCAACAGCATACACACTTAAAAAAAAAGTATGGCCAGTTAGTGGTAGTAGGTACCTATGTGCAGTTATAAGTCTATTAGAGTTGCTCTCTTAATATGGGTAGGATATAGTTGTAAAACCGCGGTTGTTATCGGATAATTATCCAAAGTTCCGCCTGTTTATCCGTCTCAATACCACAAGGTGTTATAAGTTTTACAGTTCCTGAGTCGAATATGTTATAATATTATTTAGGTACCTACTATGCCATGGTGTAAAAATTCAACAATGTATATACAGCGTCTGACAACTGGCTGCTTATTCGAATCAATACCAAAAGGTTTTGCAATTTTTAACTGTTTCTGAGTCGAAATTGTTAAAATATACGAGCTGCTATATACAAATGGGTATTATTACTACAATACCTACCTACTTTGTTATGGTATAAAACATAAAATGTTCAATATTATGAATTATTTTGCAATGTCCTTCAACACGGCAGATAATATTGAATGTTACTAACCTACTTATTTTTGACGTAGCTACATAAATAATAATAATGTTTATTTATTTCACAAGCCAGTTTTACAAGAATCGTACAACACAATATACAGTATAGCTTAGAATAAACATTTTATAGTATCCTCTGTGCCTGTGCTAGGTTATAAATGGTATTTAATCTGTAGGTATACCGAAACCGCCGCGCAAAAAATGTTTTAAATGGTTACCTAACTCGTAAGACGTATCAAAAGGGTTTCACACGTGTACCTACGACGTCTGTTTTTTGTTTCGTGTTCTTGGTACCTACCTATTATGTGATCAGGCCTAGTAAGACGAAACATTAAATTCAAATGTTATTTCAAAATAACTTTGACGCTACTACAAATACGAAAGACGATTAAATCAAAAAAGTAAGTGACGGCTATGACTTAAGTCTCAAAAGTGAGCCGCTTTTAAGTGTCTCGCAGACACTTATTTTCTTCGACACGTCGCTCGTATTTACCACTCGCTTACATTGTTGCAAGCGAATACAACTAGCCGTCACCACAGAATATATACACTACGCGAACCGTCACTCCTGCCTGTCTGTGAGACAGTGCCACAGCGCACGTATGAAGTAAGTAGGTAGGTAGTTGTATGTAGATAAACAAAAATAATCAGTTAGAACATAAATCGATATAATAAAACATAATTAAATGTTTTCAACCGTAAACAACCGCTGTTTGTGGGTTATACCTATGATACTGAACAGTTATATATGATAATTCAATTGATAAGTCATCATATAAATAGTCTGTGATTTGTGCATTTGAAACAAGTTTAATTATGATTTGTACATGTGCTTAGAGTTTTAAAATTGCTTAAGGTTTATATAGGTATTATGAAAGTAAAAAGATAAGTATGTAGATAGCTATACCTACACATGGGAAATATTTTTAATTCGTGTTTGTGCTGCGCAACACACAATAATAGTTAGTGTTCTCATTGTAAATAAACTTTGTTTCTATGAGAATAATCTTTAAACCTAAACCGGATCAGCGAAAAAGCGGTTGTTATCGGCTGGCCGGAAACGATAACAACCGCATTTACATCTATAGGTAGAACTGAAGTTCTCGCTCCCCCAGTGGTTGAAGGATGCGTAAGGAACTTCCCAGACACAAAAAAAGGCTCTGAAATCACGAAAATCAGCCGTTCTATACAAAACTTCAATACTTCAATATGAAAACAAAAAAGAAAAAAAATGTGAGCCTTCACGGGACGCCTGGCAGATGTGAAACATTGACATTATTTTGTCAAAGTAATATGCAGAAAAGAACAGATTGCTAAATATGGCATAATGTTGAAATAATATATTCCGATTTTTTTTCAGAAAATGATGACTGTTTATTTAATGAACATTTATTTTCACTAAATACAAAAATCGAATTCGATTGCGCATGGCGACGCGTCGTCGCCGCACTGTACACACAACTGTATATAGACTTTACGAGTATTATACCATCATATAGCGTGGCGACGCGTCGCTATGTCATGAGTCGCCCCGCCAGAAATCGGTTTTACGTGCTCCTTAATATTATAAATGCGAAAGTAACTCTGTACGTAGGTCTGTCCGTCTGTTACGCTTTCACATCTAAACCACTGAACCGATTTTGATGAAATTTTGTACACAGATAAACTAGAGCTTGGAAAAGGACAGGCTACCTTTTATCGCGCTAAAAGTCTTGGAGGGGTTGAAATAGGGAACAAAAGTTTGTATGGAAGTTCGTTATTAATGAAGATGACACCGTAAAACTTTATTAAGGCACTTGATAAGAAACAAATAAGAGGGAAGGGGCAGGCGGATTGGGAGGGGGGATGCGGAGGGGGAGAGGAAGGGATAAGGGGGAGGTAAGGAGAGGGGAGGGGTGAGAGGATAGGGGAAGGGGTAGAGGTGAGAGGATAAGTGGAGAGAGGGGGCGGGGAGACGGGTGAGAGGCGAGGGGTGAAAGAACGATAGGTGGATAGAGGGGATGGGGAGAGGGGAGGGGGAGTGAAGGAAGGGAGAGAGCAATGTGGCACGGGGCAAAGAGTACCTAAACAAAGAACGAAGGAAAGATAAACCCAAGCCCAAGCGAACGCAGTCGCGTTGTTTTAGTATAAACACAGAGTTGGTTATACATAAACGGTGAAACGGCACTATGAGTATGAAAGTAATAAAAATAGGGCGAAAGCTGTATCCCGTATTTGTTTATTTTGGTTTATTTAGGTTAATAATATTGTTATTAAATTGACGTATTTATTTGGTTTATTAAAGTTTTAAATAACATAGTGTGTAAGAGACGGAGTCAACCATGGACACAGACCACAATTCACAACTTTTTGAAAGAAACTTTTCTCAGTGATCTGAAAAAATCGATTGTTTATTCGAAATTGGCAAGTTCATTCGGAAGTTTTCTATGGTAAGTATTTTTTTATGCCCGAGAAATGTTTCTTTTAGAAAGTTGTTGAAATGATAATCTGAGTCCATGGTATTAGTTTTAGGGATCCCTTCCCTTTCACCGTAAAATAGGGTTGCCAACCTCAAATTTAAAAAACCAGGATTTGAAGTTGGAAAAACCAGGACAATTCCGTTTTTTAAACAGGACGCATAAATAGAGTTGCGATAGTTAAATAAATATCTAGTGAAAACAGGCGAAATGAAATTCAAGTAATTAAAATAATCACATGTAGCGTAAAAATTTGAGAAGAGGCGCACGAAGTTTATAAATTTAAAAACCCTGGACGCTGCTTAAAATCTATTCAGGACGCCCCAGGACACTACAAAAACTAGGACATGTCCTGGGAAAACAGGACGGTTGGCAACCCTACCGTAAAAGAAATTTAAGTTTTTTGGAAGTTGTATATACTCTGTTTTTATTTTCATTTTTGTCCACTATTACAACTTTGCTTGCAGTTAGAATTGCCCATAGTTCATGCATTATCAAAGCGGCGCAACAGCAAAATACAACTTTTTGTTACCAACTTTTTTTGCTATTGTTTTTAATTAATTAACTTTAGGCTGTTAAATGCAATCAAAGTTGATAGTCATGGCAAAATAAAAAAAAATGGTTGAATTACTTCAAAGGAATAAAAATATGTGAGTGTATCAATGTTCAATTTACAGAACTCAAATCGCAAGATGCAGATATGACGGTTACGTTACTTGATGATGATATGATGCTAGGAGATTATAGGAGCGTAGCGCATGAAGTTACTGTAAGTTTGTCTATGGAAACAATAGCGACCAGCAACTACTTACCAATTAATTTGAAATCAAATGTTATTTATTACTAAGTACAGCTAAGTAACTAACCACCAGTTGCAGAAAGCTCTATTAAAATTAATTGCTCAAGTCTATTGCTGTCAGTTTCGTTGTCATGAAAACAGGAACCGTTAGCAATAGATTAATGTCTCATTAACTTTAATGGAGCTTTCTGCAACTGGCGGTTAGCTGTACAGCAGTTTATTGAACCGGTGCTGGTCATCGTGATATTTTACTCAAAAATCCTACATAATTAGCTAAGTGTGAAAACGATTATAACAATAAAGGGTTATTTTTAAATAATTCAATATCTTAGAACAATCATATGGGGGCCAGTGGCATTTAGCCGTTTTGTCATGATTATAGAATATTTGTGATTCTTAGGATGTTCTAACATGTATATTTTTTCAAGGAATCTTCAACACTTGATCAATTAAATGTAAAAAAGTTAAACAATGTGAGAAAAAGTTTAAATTTTAATAATCTGGAACCGCCAATAGATATATCCTTAGAAAATTTTAGTATCAATGAAAGTGGATTAACATCATATTTAACAGAAAATATACCCTTCTCCTTTGATTCTCTTCGAGAACTCGATGGTGATGAGAATAACGAGCTACCTTACTCACTGCAAGAAAACGTTGAAGACGATTGTGAAATCAACAAGGTATTTATTTAAACATATTTTGTTTTGTCTGAGTAAAAAAGTTTTTTATCATTTAATTTAGATTTTGTTAATCTTTATTTTTTTTTGTAGGCTCAACCGGATGAGACGACGGAAAAAAATGAAAGTCACCAGTCTGATTTTTCACCAACCGATGGTTCTGATTTTGATCCTGGCAATATTTCCATGCACGATGAAGAATATGTAAGTATTATATAACTTAGTTATCTTACAGTCTTATTCAGGGTGTAAGGGTTAGCTTTCCGAAAACTTGGACTCGGGACTCAGATGAGATGCATGCACTCAGACCATCATGCTAAGGAAGTTTCTCATAGATTTACATATTAGTTCGGTAGTTGAAGTTACAAACCTTAAAGACTATTGGACTAACTCTGAAATCATAAAAAAATCAACTGTTTCACGCATTTTGATTTCATACATTTTTGTAAGAAAAAACTTATTTTCTGCGATTTCAGAGTTCACCGGTTGTAAAAAAATTGTTCAAAGTTGTCCAGTTTGATGTTCATTTTATGGTTTTGCGCATTTTATGTTACACCATGTATTGTGGTATCTATCAAACAAGGACATAAAAGCGATATAAAGAATGATAACGGTAGTTATATTGATGACTGTTGTTGCAGGGTACAGAAATGGAATTTTATGTAAGAGGAACCAAAAAACGGCTTAAAAATAAAAGTGAAAAGCAATTTAAGAAATTCAGTAAAGAACATAAAGAGTTATTAAAAAGCAGTTCAAATGATATCCCCGAAGAAACTAATTCACCAAAAACTCAAAAGCAATTACATATGAAATATGAAGACGTTGAAGAAAATAAATGTCAAAATAAATTTGGAAATAGTAAACGTACATGGACACGTAGAAATGCTTGTTTTTATTGCCAGCAAGTTGTGACTAACTTCACAAGGCATCTTTTACGGAACCATCAAAGCGAATTTGAAGTAATTGAATATAAATCTATTAAAGATGAGGATCCAAAAATACGTAAAATGAAACGTCAAGAAGTTTCAGATAAGATCAGAAACAAAGGCAACTTTTTGCACAATTCTAAGGTATGTTTTGACAGAGATGGATCAATGACATTAATACCCGCTAAAAGGAGAGACATGACATCAAGCCCTTCAAGCTTTGCAACATGTAAGAATTGTTTAGGGATATTTAAACGCTCTACCTTTTTTAGACATTTTAAGAAATGTGGGACAAACACATGTGAAGGCAGAGTTCTTACGAAGAACAGCATAACGATAATACCAAATACGGAGACAGCATCTGAAGAGCTTAAAAAAAAGATATTACCTCACTTGCGTTCGGATGAAACTGCTTTGGTGGTGAAGAATGATCGACTAATCTTGGCTTATGGGACACGATTATTAAAAAAAAAGAAAGAACGTCGAAGCCGTAAAGCAATATGCTCGAAGATGAGGGATTTGGCAACCTTATTGGTGTTAATTCGTAAACACGATTGTTCTATTACAACATTAACAGATGCTTTAGATCCGGAAAAGTACGAAGTCTTTATTGCATCCATAAAAGAAATGTGTGGATTCAATGAAGATACAGGTCAAGTGAGGGTTCCAAGTATTCCAGCTAGAATATTACCAGCGGTGCTCGGCTGTGTAGATATTTTATACACGCAGTCTATAATGAGCTCTGAGTCGACAGCTTTTAAAGAACTTTATAAAAAGAAACTAGATGACTTCAAACAACTTGTAACTATCAATTGGCAGTGGGAAGTATCCTCTAACGCAGAAAAAACCAAGAAGCGCCGACACATGATAAAAGAGAATGTTCTGCCTTTAGAAGACGATATTAGAACAGTGATGGAAACCATAGTCAAGTTAGAAGGCAAATATGCACGAAAATTGAAAATTGATTGTAACGTCATTAACTATGAGTCTTTATGCACTGTGACTATAGCTCACATCATTATGCTAGATAGAAAACGTGCTGGAGATGTAGCTGAGGCAGAGCTCACATTTTATATCAACAGAAGAAATGAAGAAATTCCTGAAGAAGTTCTAAAAACATTAACTCCTGATCAAAGAAAATCAATTAAGACTTTAGACGTTTTCCAAATCCCCGGAAAGAGAACACGTTCGGTGCCAATACTACTTACGAAAACCATGAAGGAAAATATAGACCTTATAATAGCCTGTCGCGATGATTTAAAAATTCCGAATACCTATGCGCTGCTTTTTGCAAGACCGTTTACAGATGAACCTTTTAATGGAGGAAAATGTTTAGATAAAATAAAAGAACTCTGTAATTTAAAACGACCTGAAATGATTACTTCAACTGGTATGAGACATCATATAGCGACTATGTCTCAATTGCATTCAACACAAAATGACAAATACACAGAACATTTAGCTGGATTTTTGGGGCATGACATTGCTGTGCATGCCAAAAATTACAGATTACCATTACAAGTGTTGCAAAAAGCAGTGGTTGGTTCCCAGCTCATGAAATACGAACCTCATCGAAACAGATCACCACCTCAAATTATTAACACCGAAAAGCAAATTATGGTTCCTAGAGGAGAATATTCCGAAGAACCAGTTCAGTCAAATGGGGAGGCTACAGAAAACAGTGAATTTGCTAAAGAAAACGATAGAGTAGATTCGGAAGTCAATTCAGAAGATGAAAATTTAAAAGATAATAAAGAAAAATCGGTAAAAGAAGAAAACAAACATGATGATAAAAAATCAGAAGAAAAAGATGATAGAGTAGAATCGAAAGAAAACCATGAAGAAAAATCAGAAGAAAAAAACCAAGAAGACATGCCGGAAGAGCTTATTATTTCTAAATTGAATAAAAAATTGACGAAAATAAATTTCCATAATAATCAGAAGTATGGTAGTAACATTCAAACAAGATTCAAAAGGAGGAATGTTGACCAGACGGAAACCAAAGAGAAGATTAATAAAAAAGAAACGAAATCAAAAAAAACACAACTAGACTCACTTTCTACCAATGAAGACCTCAATGATGAAATCTGTGAAAATCCAATACAGAAGAAAACCAAAAAACGTTCATTACAGGACAGTGACAAAGATATTGACCAGACGGAAACTAAAAAGAAAAACCCAAAAACAATAAAGAAACAAAAGAAAGCACGAGTATACGTATCTTCTTCAAGTGAAGAAGACTGTGAGAAACTAATACAGAAGAAGACCAGAAAACATCCATTACAAGATAGTGATGAAGAAATTATAGTGCGAAGAAGAAAAAAGACACATAGGTTTTGGTCAGATGAAGAAATCAAGGCTGTGAAGTTTTATTTTAAAGAGTACATTAAAAAGAAGATAAACCCTGGAAAGGCTAAATGTTTGGAAGTGCTCAAAAAAGCACCAGCTTTGCAAAGAAGAACATGGATGCAACTTAATTCATACGTTAATAATATTTACAAAAACAAATAAATATGTTGTCGTTAAAAGTATATTTTTTGTGATTTTGTGGTACTAATATACCAACATTTTTATTTCTTTCCACGAAACAATTATGGTTTATTATAATTACCAGTTAAGAAGATGTTTTAATTCCTATATTGCAATCAAGAAGAATTTCAAGTCCCTTTGTTCAATGTTATTTTAACAGGTATAGTTTTTTTGTAATTTTCTTGATAAATTCAGAAAAACTACACTAACGCTTGCTATTATAGGGTACGGAACTAATAGGCATTCGTGGTTTTTAATGATTTTTGTAAAAGTTGGGAATCTTCAGTAGTTTAGTAAAAATAGATTAAAAACCACAAAAACCATGCTAGCAAGCACTTACTTTATCAATAACAATTTTACATTTTTTGAGATCTTTAATATTTACAACCCTTGGATTTGTTATACCTTAAGAAATTTTTGATTTTTTTTTGATAATTTTGAATTTTTATATTAATATTATAAAGAGGAAATATTTTTTTGTTTGTTTGGGGTATATGCTGTCGCGGACTATTTTATAGAACTTTAAGTTAAAACAAGTTTTTTTTTTATGGAAGGTTTAAAATTATGTTAAGAAATATATTGTGTATCATACAAAACACAATACATTACTTTATATATTGCCTGAGACCAAAACCTATAATCTACCTACACTACAGCTCTACACCGAAGCGAAGCGAGGGCGGTCCACTAGTATATTACTATTTTAGAGTCTAATATATTGTTACCAATTAGTAAATTAAGTTCATGTTACATTTTCTTTCGAGCATTGTAACATCGTTCCACAAATTGATTTCCTTCGAATTATATTACAAAGATTTAATAATAGTGTAATATTAAAGAAGTATTTTAGAAGAGTAATTTTTTGTTAATAGAGAAACCTCTAATTTTCAATTTTTTAAGTTAATTTATTTGCCATGTAATTATTATACAGAGTGTAATGAAGACAAAGCATACGCTGTATGAGGATGTCTGGTACTTAATGCTAATTTGTAAACCTTTTTAAAATTAATAAATTAAAAAGAATTTTATTTTTATACATTTGTTGTTATAATTTTACCAATTACTCCAACAAGCCATTGCAATCAACTAAATTACGAACCATCCAACCAGGGGGCCAATCGCCTAACGGGATTGCTATGGCTATCACTTTCGCTTATCTTTTCATTTTGTTATTTTTGACAGCCATAAGTTTTCAAATGCCCCGCGCTCTTATTTTTCTTTTGTATTGGTAACAACAATATAAAAGTAAAATGAGCATAAGGTATTTGAAAACCTTCGGTCAGAAATAACAAAATAAATTGGTGAGCTATAGCGATAGCCAAAGCAATTCCTATAGGCGATTGACCCCCCGACCAATCATTCCAATCAACGTACCAACCATAATATTTTTTTAACCAACCACTTAATCACCCCAATCATCTATTCAACTATTCCAATTAACTAACTACCGTATTATGTATGTGGGGAGCCGTTGGTGGTAGAGGGCCTCCCTCATACTAGAAGGGAAGAGTGTTGAATGCGTTCGCTATGCACATTTTTATAACTAATGCATTTATTATCGATCACTTTTGTCATTGTTCCTATATTATTGTACCTAGGTTTAAATAAATATTTCATTTCGCTATGACAACCTCCCCTCTACTAACAGCCTGTTCGGACAGCCGCTTCAGTCTGAGTATCGCGTTTACGGTGGGCATCCTTCTGAAATCTTACTGGTTCTCCAATAGTTTGGGCTCCTCGTCGTTTAAGTGTTCGGTTTGGCCCTTTACAATTATGCGTTCAAGAGCTTTGCCCAGGTCGTCAAGCAAGACAATGGGACGGACAATCCGGCGGCTGTGCAGATATGGCACTTGGGATTTGCGGTGCAGCCTGCAGCTTTGTGCCTGTCCAGACGGCACTTGAAGCAGGGAGCACTGCGGTCTGTGTCGGACGGGCAGAGTTGCCTGGTGTGGCCCCGCCCCACGTACCTAAAGTGGTGGACTTGCACCGACGACCATCCGATCAGGAATCTGCCGGAGTCGGCAAGCATCTTCACTGTTGCGATCGGACATTTGATCACGACCGGGCCGACTCCCCCAGTGCTGCTCCTGATCTGACCTACTTTTGTTTGCTCGACAGAGCTCCCTCCTTAGCAACAGCATTGGTCACATGGGAGCCCTCTATGGAGTCATCAAGTCCACTGATGCAAACGTCAACGTGTTTGGTGGGAGCTAAACAAATACCTATCCCAACCAACCATACACCCATTCCAAACAACCAACCATCCAATAACTCGTTTCGCCGAATCCCACCCATCTAATAACTGACCGCATTTCATTAAACTCAATTCAAACGAATACATTCTTATATTAATATTCAAAGTTCGATTTTTGAATATTAATATAAGATTCGTTTCTCAACTGATCAACAACTGTAGTAAGCGGAACGGCAACGTTGTATTTACCTGCATCGACCAATCACGGAGGAAGTAATAAAGGGCTTCATCCTGATTGGTCCGTTTGAATCGGATCAACATTTATCGGAGCGGATTTGTATATTGGAGCCACATTTGACAAGAGTAATTTGCAGCCAAGTCACGTGACAAAAATACCAAATGTTGATCCGATCGGAGCCACATCAGTATGAGAAAAAGCGTAATGGATCAACATAAAGCCTCCGGATCAACATTTGTTTTTGGATCAACAATTAACTGATCGTACGTCTCGAAAGATCAACATTTACCGTGTTGGTATCTCTATATGTATATATATATATATATAATGTGTGTGTGTGTACAATATAATGTTAATAATGTATGTACATATAAATATTTCATTTACTAGCTATAAGGGAAAGAGAGAAAGAAAATGTGCGCGCGCACTGCTTTCTCTTGCTTATATCCCCCACTCTATTCCCGTTCGCCTCGCCCAACACGCTTTTTGTAACGCGAAACGCATTCGCCAGCTTACCCCCCAAGTCAAGCGTACTTATAGAAGTTTCACTTCAATAAGTTCTTAACAAGGTACATAACAAACTTTAGACAAATATGCTGTTTACGACAAGTACAACAACTCGCTTGATGCGAGTTAGTAATTCATGAAGATCACCTCTTGGGGAATCGTGCCAGCAAAACATGTTCTTTATTTTATAAAATTTTAGTGTAATAATGAAATACTAAAAAAATATCTCCTTGTTGCTTTATTCTTGTTGTCTTCGTCACCTTATTAATGATCTTACTTTTAATGACACATGCACTTCTCTCGCTATGGAGAATCACAATATAATCCACAAGCCCACAGTGGGAGCTGCACACTTGTTTATTTTTTTTAACAACCATACCATCATCGTCATTATCATCAGCCTTTAATTAATGTCCCCACTGCTGAGGCCTTCCCCATGGGTGGAATAGGGAGATTCGGCCATGACGCACCACGCGGACGCATTGTGGATTAGTGAGTGCTAACAACTGCAGATGTAGTCGGGACCATGACTTAAGATGCCTTCTGAAGCACGGAGGAGTTCGAGTTAGGTAGTAAATTTTTGGTCACCCATCCCATGACCGACCACTACAACGATCGCAGCCAAAAACGCTGACCACTTGCTTCCACGAGCTCCTCTGAAATAACTATACATACCGCTTCAAATGCCTTTCAAAATTCGGAAGGGCTCATGTAACAATTTGATCTCTCATCCGAAGACCAGCCGTCAAAAAAGTTACTTAATATCCGCAATGGCAAACCCAAAATAGACGCATTATCGATATCATATCATGAAGAAGATATCTCATATACTTTGACTTAAATATTACGTAGCGGCTTCCCTGTCCAGTTACGTGACGTGACGTGACAGGACAGGATAAGAGGTATTTGATGGATAGAAATGCGAAACCTTGTAACAGTTATTTGTACCAAGTTGTTACCTGTCCACTTTTCTTGATTAGCTATATATGGCACACCAACATTTAGCTGTTTTACTCGAAGCAAGCTACGCGGCACATTGGGAGGGCAATGCGTTTTTTTTTTAATTTTGTATACTGTGGTTTATATTTATAACAAGACCTCGTTTTAGATTTCTATGTGCAATTCTTATCGAGTGAATGGAGATTTGGTAATAAATGTTGTGTTGAATTGAAAATTCACCAGCCATATCAACACCAGCAAAAATCAACCATTTCACGTCTACCTAATAAGGCTCGATGGCGCAAGTGTTTAGCGCGTTCGGCTGCGATCGTTGAAGTTAAGCAACTTTCGCAGTGGTCGGTCATTGGATGGGTGACCAAAAATTTACTATCTAGAGCTTCCCCGTGCTTCGGAAGGCACGTTAAGCCATTGGTCCCGGCTGCATCTGCAGTCGTTAGCACACACCAATCCGCACTGGGCCCGCGTGGTGGGTCATGGCCCAAACTCTTTATTCCATCCATAGAGAAGGCCTGTGTCCCAGCAGTAGGGACATTAATAGGCTGATTATGATAATAAGGTTCACATTAAAGTCATTAATTTGACCGATGGTGACGATGAACAAATCGGACATATACATAATTCGTGACGTCCACAATTTTGTGTGGCAATTCAGCTTATTGTTAACGCGAGCAAGACCTCGGTCGTAGTTCAAGGTTGCCAAGGCCAGACGCCATGAGTCATGTGAATCGCGTCACATAGCCATATAACCAGCGTCTGGGGAACCAAACACACATTATTATGGTTTCGTTCTATTGTGACGGCATTGTATTGACCGCATTAATTTGAAAGCGATCAACAAATAACTTACCGCGACGACTAATTTTGGCGTTCATACAAGGTTGCGATCAATAACGTCCTAAGTACGACCCAAAATCTATTGTGATAAGTATTCAGTTACTTTATGTTCAATTGCGCAGTTTATTGCTTATCAGACTAGATTAGGGTTGCCAGATGGTCGGGAAAACGGGATTGTCCCAGAATTCTGCGTCTTGGTCGGTGTCCAGTAATAAGACCTTATTGTCCCGGAATCCCCAAACACCAGTTTTTTCACAATATTACAATACCGACACCTCTACCTGCGAGGGGCGAAAGAAGTATGCCATATAGAGGAATTCGTTACTGACCTATATTTGGTTGTGACGTTTTATTTCTGGGGGGGGGGGGGGGGGGGAATGTTCCGGAATTGATAATCCAGCATCTGGCAACCCTAGACTAGATACGAAGGAACGTACGAACGGACTAGACTAGACACGAATAGACACGAACTTTTTGCGTGTTTACTTACACGCATTCGCTTATCTGAACCTGAACCCCTAGCACGAACCATTATCGAATTCGAATAGTTTCCGAGTGCTAAATGTCAATGTCAAGTTTTGTATGGAAACTTTAACGAGAACTAAAAATTAGTACACATTTGACAATGACACTCGCGAACTATTCGAATTCGATATTGTTTCGTGCTAGGGGTACTGAACTACGTGTAGAAATAATTTTTACAAGCTTCGTTTGTCATTCTTCAAATATTTTTATTTTGAAAATAGTTATACCAAGTATGGTTAGTTAACAACAGTTACTTCTTTAAACACTTATTCTATATTGTTTCCTTACAAATTTATCTGCTCTCTTAATTCATTTACTTCGCAACCAGTAATTATTTCTTAAAATCTATGAAAATAAAACTTTTTACAATTTCAGGAGGCGTTGAGATCGCATCACCGTGCATATGACCTGTGTGATGAGGAACATCTTCAAGAAGAGTTGGAGCATATTCGACGAGTCTTACAGAGTAATGGATACCAGGGACACTTTCCATCTAGACACAAACTAAGACACCAGAGACACAGAGTAGACAGGCAATCTGTTTATTTGCCATATGTCAAAGGAGTGACTGACAAGATCTCAAACATACTGAAGAAGTACTCACTAAACACACACTCTTCACTCCTTTACGAAAGGTTTCACAATACCTACGGTCTCCTAAAGACAACTTCCCCTTGGAGAAACCTGGTGTCTATAAGATCGATTGCAGCCATGGCCGTTCGGATTGAGTTTCATAACCTACAGATTATCTCGACAGAACGCCGCTACATACAAAGATTGGTCAGGAAAGCGACTGAAATAACAAAACTTAAAAAAATCAATCGTGAGGACGGGTTTAAATTGTCTGGAATCCTGTGGTTCGTATGTGTAAAACCGGAAATAATCAAAAAAGTGTG